TCAAGCCACTAGCTTGGAGCCCTATGTTCCACTGGGAACGTGAAGGAAAAATTATTGTTAATAATAATAATAATAATTTTTCCTTCACGTTCCCAGTGGAACATAGGGCTCCAAGCTAGTGGCTTGAAGTTTCTGTAGCAGTGTTTAATTTTTACAGGATGGGGTTGCTAGCCAGCCTCATGCCCAACCTTTCCTCTTTACCAGCATTATTTCTGGCTCAGTGAGGTAAAGGAGTGCGTCGGCCGGGGATCGAACCCCGACCATATGCATGGTCGGCGAGCGTCCTAACCGCTATACTACCGACGCACTTCCTTTAAGGCCATCTATAAAACGGTCAAGGGCGCTTATTGAAATACGCTGAGACTATAGCTATTCATAAACTTAAGCCTCTTCCCCCTGTGTATTCAAAAACAGTTTATTATTACTCTTAAACTACCTTAGTAATCCTTATTTGATGATCTGATTACCAAACGTTTGTGTTAATTATTCTTAATTCTTTTTGTCACTTTGTTTAATTTAACTTTTCCATATATATTGACTTGACAAGTAAATGTGTGATCAGATTGTTCGAAATGTATAGAGCCGATACATCCCAAATTGGTTTTCAGATAATCTTCGTCTTCTAATAATGCTATCTAAATTTATAAAACGGACTAGCTGTTTTAAATTTTTGATAAAGAAGATTACTTATTTTTAAAGTACTGCAGAGAACAGAATAAATTGAAAAGGTGGTGATGAAACCCTTCGTGTCCAACTCGGAACCGAAGGAATGATATATAATGTATATCTTAACTTTAATTTCAAGAGAATGCAAAGGTTAATTTCGCTCAATACACTAAATTGCAGTGTTTCTACCCAACTTGACGTTTTGTTTCTGCCTATTTTTTCTAAATACGAATGTAATCACAAGTGTTGACGTTAATTCAACAAAGTTACTTGTAGCCGCTTAAACTATTAGCCTACATGAATACCTAACCAGGTTACTGAATCTTATAAACATTTCATGTTTGGCAGGTGACCAGATAATTAACACATACACACACACACGCACAAACACAAGATACATAAAGAACCTATTAATATGTATCATCATCGTTTTTTAACAACATATATGTTCATCACTCTTATGATTTCTTTTATTGATGACGCAAAATGTTTCCGTTACTTAGTAGAAATACGCCATTTCAGTATGTATGCATATGAATTGTACAATCCACATAAGTTCTCATTCGGAAATTAAAATATCCAGAGAACATATGTGAATATCAGTAACCTTATCCCCTTTGATTCCCTGTTTTCCCGCAGTCCCCTATAGCCGGCTCCAAGACTGTCCATGAGCTCTAGTCTCCTCCTCTTCACAACACGATCTCCTCCAACATTAACCCTTCGCGTCCTGCCTGCCTTTTATCTGGTATTTTTGTATGTGGCAGTAGGTTCATCTTGTTGGTTCGTTGCTTGACAGAGTTCCTTGATGCTAAACCTTCCTGTCCATCTTATCTTCAGTACCCAGATAGTAAAGGAAATTGTTGATAAGGATCTGAAGCCTATGTCTTCATTTTCGGTGAAGGTGTGGTAGAGATTTGACTGCAACTCAATGTTCTGTTCCATAATGATGCATAGAGCTGCCAAAAATAGTTAAGTTATATTATTTTAAATAACTTAGCAGATTCTTCCAATAAAGCTAGAACAACAATGGTTTTTGCAGAATAAGATAGTAAGTGCCATGACTTATTTCTTTGGCTTCTTATCATCTGCTTATAGCCTAAAGATAAATACTTCCAAATTTTACATGATGTCAACTGACAGACGGTTACAAACTTAATGAACAGTGCTCAGAAAATTCGATTTATATAGTTTTTACACAGAGACTTGAAGTTTACATAAGGCATTTAGAAGACAAATTTGGCGAGATGATAACATGGTTTACAATAATAATAAAAATAAAGTTCATAACAATTTTTTTCTTTCCTTCACATTCCCAGTGGAACATAGGGCTTCAAGGTAGTGACTTGAAGTTTCTGTAGCAGTGGTGTTTATTTTTACAGGATGGGGTTGCTAGTCAGCCTCATGCCCAACCTTTTCTCTTCATAAGCATTATTTCTGGCTTAGCAAGGTAAAGGAGTGCGTCGGACAATGTACATGGTCGGTGAGCGTCCTAACCGCTGTGCCACCGGCGACGCTCGTAACAATTACTCAGGCATATAAAACAAAAGTACACACTAATGACCAATCATATTTAGATAGGTCACGTAGTCGTCCATGGTAGGCGAAGGTTGAAGTCTATTGTGTTTTTGTACATATGGTTCAGGATGTACGCGATTCACGCAAAGTGCTTCAATAAACAACTTTAAATTAGAGTTATGTGATGAAATAATTGTGAAGCAGTCATTAATAATATTGATTTTGTGACCTGACATTAACAAAGGCTTTGCAATGGATGATGACGATGATGACAGATTTCTTTTTGATGTGGTTTTGTTCTTTGAGCTGGATGGTTAATTTGCGAAGCTTTCGTCACCCTACTGGATGACATCTTCAGCGCATACTTCAATTTGAAGTGAGCTTTTAGATTTCTCCACGAGTTTGTTAATCATCTCTCCTGGTGACCTGGAACGTGATTGGTTGCTTTTGTGTGTTTTCACACCTTCTAGGTTACTTGTATTGGAACTGACCGTTTCTTTGACTTCAACTTTGACCCTTTGTGTGTGAAGTTTCTTTCTTATTGGTTGATAAATTTTGTCTATCTCTATGTGTCTATTGATTGATGATTCACTGGAATACCAGGTTTCTAAAAATTCTCTAGCATTCTTAGTGTTTCCTCTGTCTAATATTTGAACGTTGTCTCAGTCAAATTGATGTCCGTGGTTGTCTGTGAGTAGTGAAATGAGGGAGTGGATATCATGTCTTTTGATGGCTAACTTATGTTCGTGGATACGAAGACGAAGGGGACGTCCACTTTGGCCAATATAGTGTTTTTCACAGTTGTTACAATTTATTTTGTACATAATGTTGGTTTTATCTTCTTTCACTGTTTTTGGTTTACATAGAATTGAGTGAAGTGAATTTGTTGGTTTGTGTACGACGTCAATTCCTAAAGGTTTGAATAATCTTGTAGTGATTTCTGAGACATCCTTTATATATGTTAAGGTGATTTTCTTTATGCTTTCCTTGGTGGCTTTTGCTTTGATAGGTTGGCTTGAGTGTATACGTCTTTTGGTGAAATTCCGTGGATATCCATTCTTTTGAAAGACATCCATGAGATATCTTTCTTCAATTTTTCTTAAGGGGGGAGTGCTGTAATGAGTCCTTGCCTCTTGAATAGTGTTTGTATGCAATTCCTTTTGTGTGTTATTGGGTTGTTGTTGTTGTAATTTAGGATTTGGTCTGTGTGAGTTGATTTTCTATAAACTTGAGTTTCTAACTCCCCTGTGGCTGTTCGTTTGACTAAGACGTCCAAAAATGGTACTTTGTTCTCGGATTCCTCTTCCTTTGTGAATTTGATGTCGTTGAAGACGTTGTTTATTAAGTTGTGAGTTTTATCTAACTCGTTTCTTTAAAGAAACGAGTGCTTCAATAACCAACATTGAATTGGAGTTATGTGATGAAATAATTGTGAAACAGTCATTAATAATATTGATTTTGTGACCTGACATTAACAAGTGCTTTGCAATGGATGATGATGACAGATTTCTATTCAGATTAATATAGCTGCATTGGGATTTTCTGTATGTTTAAACTTCATGTTTAAACAAAAATCTACTTATGCATACGATGTTAAAGAGATGAGCAAAGGGGATCAGTAACTAATAATTTTAGTGACAGTATGGTGATATATGCCTGATTTCCCACAAACTGGAAGATATGCAAGTGAAAAGCAACAAGTTGGCGGAAGAAACATCAAAGATAGGACTTCAAGTGAACATAGATAAAACAGAGGTGATGAAGATTCCTGGCCAACACCAACAACAGACAACAATCAGCATGAATGGGAGGAACCTGAAAGAAACAACCTCCTTCACCTACCTGGGAAGCATCGTTTCAACTACAGGCGGAACTGACGAGGATATCAAAGCCAGAATCGGAAAAGCAAGACAAGCTTTCATTACTCTCAAATCTGTGTGGAGGTCAACAGCACTCAGCATCAAAAATAAGATCCGGATCTTCAACTCCAATGTAAAGTCAGTGCTACTATACGGACCAGAGACTTGGCGAGTCATAAAGACCATCTCAAACAAACTACAGACCTTCATCAACAGCTGTCTTCGTTCAATACTCAAGATCAGATGGCCAGAAAAGATCAGCAACAGGGATCTCTGGGAGCGAACCAACCAGGAACCGATTGTGAAACAAATAGGCACGAAGAAATGGAGATGGATTGGCTGGCCATACTCTGAGGAAACCATCAAGTGACATCACTAGACAAACCATCGCTCCAGTGGAACCCGAAAGGGAGGCGGCGAGTTGGTCGTCCAAGTGTGACTTGGAGGAGGTCATGCGAGGAGGAGATTAAAGCATGTGGGCGAACTTGGAGCGGAGTGAAAAAGTTAGCAGAAAACCGAAGGCAATGGAGGTGCGCAGCTGAAGTCCTATGCTCCTCTAGGAATTAAAGGATATAATAATAATATGGTGAGTTCAACTGAAATCATAGGAACACGAGACAAGAAAAATTACATAATATCTAAGTGGGGTGTGGTTAAAGCCAAAGAATACGTAATCAAATGAAAGGAAGAGAGAATAAAGAGATATTCAGTCATCAACCAGGGCAAGAGAAATCTGATAACTGCTTCTTTGTGAACACACGCAAAAATTGGGTTTCAGGCGTTTCATAAAGATTGCTTCGGCAAATGTGAAGCGAATAGAGCAGATTATGGTGTCATATTAGTACAATGATATTCTTATCACTTAGTTAAGCCTTGGTATTGTTATCACAAATACTGTTTAACGGCTTATTCAATCTACTTTATTGTTATTACTGCACTCTTTGTTTTCCTCTGCAACAGACTACATTACGTGAAGCAACTCGTTTACTCTCCACAATGCCACGAAGTAACAATCCAGAACCAAAAGGTTTATCATCGCCACTAACACCGTTGATGATGTCATCTGCTGGTGCTGGCAGTGTAGGCATGGACGATAATGATAGTGATAATAATAACAGCAACAACATCAATATTTCCAACGATAGAAAAGATGATTTATTTTTAAAATTATCCACTTGACTTTTATTATTTATTTATTTATTTTGTCGTCTCGTGACTGTTGCCCACATCCACTCTCCATACCAACCAACCAACCAACCATCCCACGCCACCCCAGCCCCAAAAAAAAGAAACAAACTTATTTTTAGATTTTCTATAATTTCAATTATTATTTTCTTTATTTTCTTTTATGTTTATGTGTGTATGCGAGTGTGTGTTTGTGTGTGTGCGTGATTGTGTGGGATTGGGGTGTACGGATTCCAATGTCCATCATCTACCACCTGATAATGGAATGCATAAATCCACTAGTGCTTGAATTCACACAGCCATCCATTCAATCATGTACCTTTCAATTATGTAATAACCCTAATTGTGTTTGCTCACACATCCACTTCTTGTATATATTACAACACATACATTCATATATATATATGAATCCTTGTCATTATTAATATTATATGATTACACAATATATTTCATGTATCGACGATATATATTGCATACACTAGTATGATCTCCTATATTTTTAGTACATATATAGATGAATATATATATATATATATATAATATCCCAATGTGATCAGTATTCACTCAAGTGTCAATGTCTATTTTGTATTTTAGTACAGTCCTACTACTGCAATATCCTTATATCGCTTTCATATACATACGCTTTTCACACACACTTGACCTGTTTGTCTTTCTTGTATTAGACAGTTACTTTATGTGATCTCTCTTTCTGCCTCTTCTTCCTCCTTCTATTCCAGAAACTGTGTCTATTACATATGAACAGTGTGTTACTACACTGACTGAGCTTATTGTTACTGTTGTTATCTCTAAAATAATGATACTGATAATAATAATAATAAAGCATTTCCCTCTGAGTCTTTCTGTTAAAGGTGGAAAAATAATCATTCCTATCAGTATCAGTGGCACAGCGGTAGAATGCTCTTCCTATTGTCCTGGTGTCTACTTCGTAGTTGACCTTTCAAGTTCGACCCCGCGCACCATCATCACCTTAACTGTTCAGTCAGTCAGTGTCGACAATATTCAAGTGTTGGTTTGTAGGGATTCGATTTGATTAGTTACAGAATTCCATCGTGATGAACTGACATTGGTTGGAGAACCATTAGAAAGCCGGCCTGGGAGTACTGGGCAGAGAACCATTTCGTCAGACTAGTTTGAGATTCTTCATCAGTACCCATCCATCACAAGGGGGGGTTCGAACCCTAGACCACCTGGTTACAAGGTGAGCAGGTTAGTAGAACATTAAAGCCGTGAGACTTGATCTAGTGGTCAGCCTATGAATTCCAACTTCTGCCAATTCAGTGGTCTCTCTATATCGTGAATTGGCTGAGGCTGGAATTCATAAGCCACTGAATTAGATCGGCCCCAGTGGCTTAATGATCTACGAGCTGGCTCACCTTGTAACCAGATGGTCCGCGGTTTGAACCCCCTGTGGTGAGTGGGTACTGATGAGGAGTCTCGGCCTAGGCTGACGGAATAGCTGGCTGTCCAATACTCGAGGCTGGTTTTCCAATGGTTTTCTAACCTGTGTCAATGTAGAGACCTGGTCATCACTCAGCTATTTATTGTGACAAAGAATGTAGAGACTGAAACCGATGTGTTATGGTCTGGACGCACGAAGCCAATCATTGCGTTCTACTTCATTGAGTTTACGCGCAGTCTGAAAATTTCCCAAGTCTGGTAAACAATAGAGCAGTTATCTGTAACAAAACCCGCTTTACTATTTAACAACACTAATGGAGTTTCAAATACTCAAAATTACCTTAACAATGTCATTCAACATCTATAGAGGTTCAGTGCCTTCTCAGGTACAGACCAGATACTGTAAAACAAAATTAACTGACTAAAATCAACCTTAAGAAGTACCTGAGAATCAGGAAGGTGGTATCAAGATGCTGTTAGGAAAAATCATATGCCAAACAATCTGCGATCACAGTCCAAGGCCATTTGTCCTTGACTCACTTAAATAAAAAATCGCATTCGCAGAGAACAACACATTATCAGTATCATCACAAAACGACAATGAGAAGTATTAAAATTAAGATTAAACAGGAACAGAGACAAATAATGAGGATGAAGTCAAAATATGAGATGATATGCAAATGTCAGAACAATTATCTATAGTTTGGGAAAAAAATGGGTAATAATTGCAAATTTAGTCGGAATACCTAAACATGTAGCCATATAGTAAGTAGGTGTTCACGATGTCTTTTCCAGACAGTTATTCTTATACAATATGATGTCGAATAAACAGATTTTTGGATTTGTGGTTATTTGAAATAATTTTGACTGTTGGATATTGTAAAGGACCAATACCAGTTAAACATCGCTCAAAAACCATTCAGCTAAATGGGCTGGAATACAGTGGCCTGTGAATTCTAACTTTTATCGATTTGTTATACAGAGCTACCCTGAATGATGTCTAACCAATATTAGTTCACTACAAAGCCTAACTAATCAAATTAATTTTCAACTGTCGGTTTTCAGAGATTTCACTGGTCACAGGATTTCATCATGTATTTTGATTGGACACTAGTAACTAGTTAGTGTGACGTATCTAGTCCTTTCTTTGGTGCATACTGAATTCTATCAGTCAGCTTTTGCAATGTGGTCACCATTCTAGATAGCTCGCCGAGAGACATGAGTTCCTTCAAGGTTGCAGACACACCTTGCTGACTGGTGAGTGGCAACTAGCACCAAATCTAGATCCAAGGCTTCCTGTCGATTGCCTCCAACTATCAAATATATCATCAGATTTCATCATGAGCTGACATTGATAAGAGAAGAATTTGATAACCTGGGTGTACACCTGAGCAGGTGTTTCATTGGACGATTTAGCACGACTGTTACTGTTCAGTGTCATCGGTGATGAGTATTCGTCCACATACCCGCGGTGCTCCACCCGCTTATCGACTACTACTGGATATGAACGAAATATTCCTATACTTAGTCATACGAAAAAAGGTGTAAACAGCAAAGAAGAAGAATTTTCTTTTCTACGGTTCATTTTCATGAGCTGTACAATCGTAATTTTATTTAACAAAGAAATCTTTAGACTAATCAGATACTGGTAAACTTTGTCCTCGAAAAATGTATTACATGAGATAAGGTGTTAGAAGGGATGACTAATTGTAAGTTAAAAATAGGCAGGAGTTAGTATGACCTTATAAGTGTGAGATAATGACTAATCAATAAGCTAGTGTAGAATGGACAGGAACTAGTTGAAAGGCGATATGTGTTTTTAAAAATATAAAATCTGTATGAAAAAGCAATGTTATTAATAAGCAGTAATAGAGTGGTAGTAAAATATGGATGATGGGAATAATAATGATAGTAAAATTAATAATAATAGTGAACTTACATAATAAAAACAAGAAGCAAAATTAAAGCGAGAAATTTACTCTGGCCACGGCAGAGCAAGTGAATGTATGCAGCGTTTTTGAATGCAGAGGTCCAGTTTCAGATCCCGAATAGCTAATGCTTCAGCTTTTTACAAATGGCGTACGCGAAGTCCCTTAAGACGATATTGAGGGACTCTGTGTAGCACTGTGAAGCATTCATGCAAGTGGGGGTGCTCGATGTCCGGAGGTGATAAGGTGTTCGAGGAGACAGCTTCTGCTATTCTTCTTTTCTCCTCTGGCTAACTAACCAAGCTAGACAGTGTTCCACAAAACGTTTGTGGACTTGACGTTGCGTACGGCCGATATACTTTGCTCCACACGAGCGAGTGAATTAATAAGTACACACTGAAGTGGCCCAAAAGCGATATCTTATCTTATTCAAAAGTGACATCGCAAAGGAAACTATCAGAAACCGACTTTCTAAATGTTTGAAGAAGACATTTCCAGTAGCCACCTTAAGCATCACATTCTCCAGCAGACAGTTTTTTTCCTTCACGTCCCCAGTGGAACATAGGGCATCCAGCTAGAAACTTGAAGTTTCTGTAGCAGTGTTAACTTTACAGGATGAGGTTACTAGCCTCATGCCCAACCTTTCCCCTCTACCGGCTTTTTTATTACTGGTTTGGAGAGGTAAAGGAGTGCGTCTGGGGTCGGGGATCAAACCCCGGACCATGTGCATGGTCGGCGAGCGTCCCAACCACTGTGCCACCGACGCAAACAGTTAATCCAGTCTATCGTTAAGGATAAGACAGCACTGTTGGCCACTTCAGTGTGTACCTATCGATTTACTTGCTCGTGTGGAGCAAAGTATATCGGCCGTACGCAACGTCAAGTCCACAAACGTTTTGTGGAACACTGTCTAGCTTGGTTAGTTAGCCAGAGGAGAAAAGAAGAATAGCAGAAGCTGTCTCCTCGAACACCTTATCACCTCCGGACATCGAGCACCCCCACTTGCATGAATGCTTCACAGTGCTACACAGAGTCCCTCAATATCGTCTTAAGGGACTTCGCGTACGCCATTTGTACGTAGCAGAAGCAGCTGAAAACTCCATATGTTTGCAATGAAACTGACAGGTGATAAACGACTACAAGTCCTGTAATTCTGATGGTTAAACCACGAGATTCAATTTGATTTCCGCCACTAATCATGCGTTCACTTTGATATCCGTCGTTGTTTTATAATGTCGCCCATTGTTTTAATATTAGTGTTCGGGAATAGTGAAAGTTAAATCAATGTAAGGTGTTCGGCATTAGATGTTTGATGGTGAACAGTTTTTCCTTCCAAAAAAACACGGGCACAATCCCCCCATCAACATCGTTATTCGTCATGTCATCATCAATATCATCCTCATCTTAGAGTGTGTCTGTAAATGTTAAGCAAGATTGAACCAATTGAAGTGGTTCCGAGCAGTAGTATATTTCAACTGAGTCACTGAATTATTGATAGCAATATAAACCTAAAGTACCATTATTATTAATTTTTTTA